TGCCACAAAGTTCATTTGGCGTCTTTCATTTGCTATTTTGGGGAGGGGGTATTTTTTCTGAGTATTTAATCATGGATATACATGTTTCTTAAGTTTTTACCTCACTGTTTGGGTTCTAATGGGTTACTTTGTGAATGAGTTAAGCCTTCTGTTATTACGGAGGTCATTTGCATGTCCTGCTTCCTCCCCTGACTGTAAGCTCCCTGCGGTCAGGAACCATGTCTTACTTTTGTGATTCCATAGACACAGCACAGACAAAACCCCGAGTGCCTTGTTATTCAATGGCTCAGATAAAAAGTGTGGTGGTGAAAAGAAAAGGAAACAAATGTTTCAAATATATCCAGGATTCTAGGTCCCAATTACCTAGAACTTATAGAAAAGCATGAATTACATGCTCAAGAAGAGTTATTTTCCAATTCATTATGCATGACTTTCTTTAAAAAACTTGCTTAATGAACTTTACAAATCTAAAGAAGTCCAGAAAGGATTCCAAGCATTTGGATTTAAGTGACCTTTAGTTGTACTCATATCTCATAATGTAAATGTTTAAAAATTATTTCTCCTAGTCAGTATATCTGTTCTATCAAAGGAGAGAATATCCCTTCAGTGAGAAGTGACATACGCTGGCAGGTTCCTGAGAAAATGTTGGGCTTCACTAGATTCTAAGAAATTTAAGTTGTTTCCATGTGTAAATAAAGTGTCAGACATCTTAGTTGCCTCTAATTTGATGAACAAAACAGAGTTGCTTTGAGCCTCTTGTCATCTATGAGTGGCAAACATCGCCCTAACAGTCCCCCCCGCCCCTGCATAACAGTTTCCTGTTGAGACACTAAAATAAGAATCTCTTCTATTTCTGAAAGATTTACATCAGAAAAGTTTTTTCCATAACCTGACAACTTTTATTATAAATGTTGGCATCATTTATAGTTTCCTCAAGAAAACAAAGTATTTATTAAAATTAGACAATTCTTGCCCAGGCTGCTTTGGCTCAGAAGATAGAGTGTTGGCCCACAGACTGAAGGGTCCCAGGTTCAATTCTGGTCAAGGGCATGTACCTCTGTTGCAGGCTTGATCCCCAGCCCTGGTTGGGGCATGTGCGGGAGGCAACCAATCGATGTGTCTCTCTCACATCTATGTTTCTCCCCGTCCCTTGCACTCTAAAAAAATAAATGGGAAAATATCCTTGGGTGAATGTTAACAACAACAACAAAAAGTATCTAATATATGCTTACTATAGAAAGATAGAAAAAACAATAATAATAAAAACCATTAAAATCACTTTATCAGTGCTAAACCATATATCTGTAAATATAAACATGTTGGTGTATATATATATCCTAAAAGGCATTTTCCCCCTCTCCAAATACAAGTGTTGGCTGTTTTTTACAGAATAAAAACAATGTTTGCATATTACATTTTATGGATGTGGATGAACCTTAATGTACCTCCCCTCTCCCCCCTCTCCCACCCTCTTTCTAAAAATACATAAATAATTATTACAAAAAAATGTGCCTTGGAAATCACTGGCCAATTTGGGGGAGAAGAGGGGAAGCAAAAGATATTTTGAACAGCAAACTTGACCTAATTGACATTTATAAAACACTCATCCAATAGCAACAGAAAACACATTTGTTTGAGGTACCAGAACATTTATCATGTTCTGAGCAAGGAACTGAAGGCGATTTTCTAAGAAGTTAAGCATATATCTACCACATCATCCAGCTATTCCACTCCCAGGTATTTTACCCAAGAAAAAAGAAAAATATATATCCATACGAGATTTGTACAGATTGATGTGTGAATGTTCATAGCATTTTTAAAATATGTTTGTTTTTATTGATTTCAGAGAGGGAGAGAGATATAGAAACATGAATGATGAGAGAGAATCATCAAATCAGCTGCCTCCTGCACATTCCCTACCAAGTATCAAGCCTGCAACGTGGGCATGTGCTCTGATTGGGAATGTAACCATGACCTCCTGGTTCACGACACTCATACACTGAGCCACACCGGCCGAGCTGAATGCTCATAGCATTTTATTTGTAAAAGCCCCAAACCAGTGTCTCATCTACAAGTGAATGGGTAAACGAACTGTAGTATACCCACACAATGGAATACTACTCAGTAATAAAAAGACGTAAAATATTGATACTGATGTAACAATATGAATGCATCTCAAAGTAATTATGCTACAGGGAAAGAAGTCAGACAAAAAGTATACATACTTTATGCCTCAATTTGTGTAAAACTTGAGAACATACATACTGTTATGAAGGCAGATGGTAAGACAAATGGAAGGAAGATTAAAGGGCATGAGGAAACTTGGGGGTGATATGTTCATTATCTTAGTCTGATGGTTTTATAGGTTATACATGTCAAATTTTATAAAATTATAAACAAGATGTACAGTTTATTATGTATCAATTGAACCTCAAAGCTGTCTAAAATATGAATGAATAAGGAAATCCTATATAATAAAAAGCTAATGTGCAAATTGTCCCCTTGACCGTGAGTTCGACCAGGGGGTGGGGCCGGCCAGCTGCCTGTGGCCCCTCCCCCTGGCCAGCCCACCTGATCGGCCCTATCAGGACAGGCTGGCCGGACCCCACCCATGCACAGGTTTGTGCACTGGGCCACTAGTAGTAAAGTAAGGGATTCATGATAGTGGAGCTGTATATATCACCACAGTGGTTCTTAAACCCTTACATGCAAGCAGCATAATATATTTTTTAAAATTCTTTATTGTTGAAAGTATTACATATGTCTCCTTTTTTCCCCCCATTGACCTCTCCCCACTGCTCCTGTCCCTCAGCACAGGCCCTCACCCCCTAATGTCTTTGTCCATTGGTTATGCTTATATGCATAATACAAGTCCTTTGGTTGATCTCTAATTCCCCTTTCCACTCTCCCCTGCCTTCCCTCTGAGGTTTGATGGTCTGTTCAATGCTTCTATGTCTCTGGATCTATTTCTGTTCATCAGTTCATGTTGTTCATTATCTTCCACAAATAAGTGAGATCATGTGATATTTATCTTTCTGCGAAAGGCTTATTTCGCTTAGCATAATGCTCTCTGGGTCCATCCATGCTGTTGCAAATGGTAGGAGTTCCTTTCTTACAGCAGTGTAGTATTTCATTGTGTAGATGTGCCACAGGTTTTTAATCCACTCATCTGCTGATGGGCACTTAGACTCTTTCCAAATCTTAGCTATTGTAAATTGTGTTGCTATGAACATAGGGGTGCATATATTCTTTCTGATGGGTGTTTCTGATTTCTTGGGATATATTCCTAGAAGTGGGATTACTGGGTCAAAGGCATTTTTAGTTTTTTGAGGAAACTCCATATTGTTTTCCACAGTGGCTGCACCAGTCTGCATTCCCACCAGCAGTGTACGAGGGGTGGCATGCCATTTTGCCATGTACTGTGCTGGATCAGTGAAACGATCTTGCTTGCTGATTTGCACTTTACAACCAGAGCTAATGGAGAGTGTTAGGATTATAGAAAATATTCTCCCTATTTCTCGGGGGGGGGGGGGGGAGTGACTCTTTCACATTTATACATGTTAACAATTGAGCATTGAATTTTTAAGTAGCAATATGATTTCTAACGAGGACCTCAATCATACTGTATCAGCCTGAGTAGAGAAGAGGAATAGAAAATATGTGGTGAAGCCAAACCCATAGAAACAGAAAGTAGAATGAATGGTGGTTATCAGGGTCTGGGGAGGGGGCGATGAGGGAAATGGAGAGATAAAATGTTCAGCAAAGGGCACACACTTTCAGTTAGAAGTTGAATAAGTTTTGGGAATCTAATGCATAGCATTGTGATTATAATTAACAATGCTGTATTATATATTAAAAGTTGCTGAGAGTAAGATATTAAATGTTTTCACCACAAAAAAAGAAATAGTAATTATATGATGTGAACGGAGGCTTTAGCTAATGCTGTGATAATCATTTTGCAGTATATAAGTATATACTTATATAAGTATATATAAGTATAGCAAATTAACATGTACATCTTAAGCTTATGCAGTTACCTTTCAGTAGAGCTGGGATAGAGGGACTAAAGGCACACAAAATCCACTAAAGTAAATGAGTAGAAACAAAATGTAGTGGTGGTGATAATTCAGTGGTTACTCCTTGCCAACTGATTGAAGATCAAATTTCTGAGCCAGTGACTTTTAATGTCCCCTGGGGTTTGATCCTACCTGTTCAATTTTTCCCACCTATCTTCCAGAATGCACTGTGCTATCTCCTCTTTATTGCCTTGGTTAGTGCTTTCCTCTGCACCGTTCCAACTCACCTTTTATATCTGTGTGGAAAAATCCTACCTATCCTCCAAGTTCCCACTCAGATGCGAACGTGTTTTCTCCGATCCTCCCAGCGGGAAGTGTGTCATCTGTGAGCTGTGTTTTAGCTGACATTAAGCACGGAGTTTGTACCCTAGGCCTTATAGGTGTAGATCAGTGAGGTCTGTCCTTCTGTCTTGGAACTGGGAAGATGCAGAGTTAAGCATTCTGGCTACTGTTTAGATGTGTTTGAATTGTTTGATAAGCTTTCCCATTTATTAAAATGACTGTAATTATCAGTGCAGATGAGGGAAGCAAAAGTTGTGTTGATTTTATTTTTGAACCACATTCTAGGTTCATTTGATTAGAGCAGAGGAATGGTAGATTTTCTGTCTTCATGACATTTTTTAAAGCTAACACTTTAATTATATGGACCCTGTCTTTCCCTCACATTTTTAGGACCAGGCAATTGCTAGTTGGGAAGGAAGTCAATTTATGAATTTAAATCAGCTATAGGTGGTTCACTTTGAATAATCAGTATAGAAGAGTTGACTTAATGGCATCTTAACATTAGAGTACTCTTCTGTCATTGAAAGAACACGAATTAGGTAGGATTCACGGACTATTTGAAAAAATGTGTTTTTGAAGTTTCAAGTGAGAGCTATTATCTGGATTCCACTCCGTTGATCACTTCTCATATTTCTTTTCCAGGTCCGGACCCTATTTGTCAGTGGTCTGCCCCTGGACATCAAACCTCGGGAGCTCTATCTGCTTTTCAGACCATTTAAGGTACCTTTTCTATCTTTCAGAAATTGTAAAAGGAAACAGAAAGCTTCATGGTGTCTTTTTGGAGGAAGAAATGAAATGCTTGAGAAAGTACCCTATAAAGTGATATTTTTAAAAGGTTAATAAGCAATGGGAATTTAACAACTCAACCCTACCTTACAGTGTTACTTACAAAAGATGGAAATGGCCTTTTGTCCTTCTAATAGCTAATCGAGACAAGTATCTTCTATTAACTGATGTGGACTTGTATCTGTCTCTTCCACGTATAACAGCCTTAGTGTCCTCCGGCAATTGGGGATGTTTTTCTAGGTACAGATCACCAAAAATATTACCAGTTGCTCATTATGTATTTATATTTCAAATGCAATAATATAAATCAAGCCCTATCCCTAGGAGATTATTAGTTGAAATAGTTCTATTAGTACTAGTCTTTGGAGGCAGAACTAGGCTTTTATGAATTAGACTAGGAACCTAATACCATATTTGTTTCATGAGAAAAATATCCTAAGTTTCAAATAAAGTAAAAACAATATTGTAAAGTGTTTTTTGGCATAAGGGGAAGCTTTCCTGGTGCTTGAATATTTAATGCAGTGTGGCTATTGAGATATTACTACTTTGGAGATACTGAATGAATCTGGAATTGAAAACTTAACAGGAAGTCAGACTAAAGCTGAAATAACCATGTTGCCTAGGCAAAACCTTGAAGGTTAGCCTGTGGAGGATTGGAGAAGGCTAGACTGGGGCAAATTGTGGGCTGGAGGCCTTGGCCCTCAAGGAGTGAATCTGGAAGTCATGAGAAACTCAGGGCTTGTGTCTGAGCTGGATGTTGCTGACATGTCAGCCAGTGATGTCAGCTGGGGCCATACTTATGATTAGGCAATGGACCATCTTGATTTTTGGTTAAAGATCCATCCCACTTGAAGCAGGAGTCCAGCCAAGACAGGTTGAGGAAAAGTATCTAGTTTTTTTAGGCAGAGGGAACAGGATGTAACAGCTGAAAACAGCTGTGTAGGAAAGGAAGAGAGAGGATCCAGAGGGCAGCCAGTTAAAACCAACAAAGATAAAATAGAGTCTAGCTTATATGCCAAGAAGGCATCATACAATGACATAATTCCATTCTGACAGATATCCCTTAATGCAGCGATTTTCCGCCTTTTTCATCTCATGGCACATGTAAACTAATTACTAAAATTCTGCGGCACACCAAAAAATATATTTTTTGCCGATCTGACAAAAAAAAAAATAGGTCTAATTTTTATTTATTAACACCAGGAAGCTATTGTTGTTTTGGCTGTTGTCTTTTTTTGTTTGTTTTTTTACAATCAAAGGGAAAAGAGGTTAGTGCTCCTGACTAAATAGTCAGGTATTACATGTTTTAAAAATTCTTACAACACCGGTTAAAAATCACTGACTTAATGCAGTAATAAATGTTGACAGGTCAGAAGAAACAGAAAGCTTAGCCGTGAGGTTAACTGAGAGGAAGTGGGAAAGAAAGAGATGTTGTAGGAAGAGAGTGCCAACTTGATAGAATTTCCTGACTTTCTTCTGCATGGTTGCAATTTTTACTATCCCTTTTGTAGGATGAGGACATTTTAAGCTAATTGGCCTTCTTAATGGACAAAGTACTATTGTGTTTATATATGTGGAGAGAGATATTCATCTAGCAAGCCCCTTATATGAATTATCTCATTTAATTCTCATCATAATCCTTTACAGTGGGTTGGCCTCATTTATTCAAATGAGGAAAATGAAACTTTGAGCAGTTGAATAAATTTTGCTCAAGTTTACACACACAGTAAATGACAGGGCCAGGATTCGAACTCAAGCAGTCTGACTGCCTTCCTTGCTCTGAACTACTGTGTGGTACTTTCTTTTCTTGTGACTTGAGAGCACAGTATAGTCCTGCCAGTGGTTTGTACTTGAGTGAAATATTCATTTGTCCTTTGCCGCTGAGGCCTTCAGGGTGTTTAAACCTCTGGGTTTTTCAGAGAAAGCACCTTGAAAAGGGAAGAGGCAGGGCTGTGAATCATGACCTCTTTATCCAGAAGAGCTCAAGGCCTTTGAGGTAAAATGTTTACAGTAGCTAATTGGTCACATGGTTCTATGCTGGGAAGATATGAGGATGAATCAATCCCAACATTCTACCCAGAAATGCTTCCCTAAAGTCAGGACCCTGCTACATTCCTAACAACCCTCTTTTAATTAAAGTCCCTGAAGGTTGACACTGGTCTGCAAATCTGTCTCTACACTGATACGTGCGGTGGTCAATCATGTCAAGTGGTGTTTTTCCCTCTCTGTGTCATCCATCAGTGCAAGCCACCCGCTATTGATTATTTTCAGAAATAAACACACTTTGTTGTCCTTACCCTGAGAAGCCAGGGAGGGGTGAAAGGAGGTTTTGAAAGGGAGTGTTTCTATCTTCTTTGAAGATGAGCTCAAGTAAAAACTCAGTAGGGCATTTTTGTATGTCCCAATCAGAATACCAACATGAAAATTGGCTGATTCAATAAATAATCAAAAGAACTGAAAAAGAAATTTAAAAAACCTCAACAAAATTTAGCATCACTACCTGCTTCACCTTTCCTGGCAGTTTTGAAATTTTGACAAATAGGTTCTACCCAGTGCATTCTTTTTTTTTTTTTATATAATTTTTTATTTTATTTTTCAATTAGAGTTGATATACAGCATTATATTAGTTTCAGGTGTACAGCCATGTTGATTAGATATTTATATAACTTACAAAGTGATCACCAAAATATAGTACATTCTTAATGTTTCATTATTGTTATTTTATAACAAATACATGACCAAGTTATCACATACTCTTACCGTCCTATCTTATTAAATTGACCTCCTTCAATCTCCTAGTTCTATAAAACAAAGAGGTCTGCTGTACACAGACACCAATTTTCCTGCCATTGCATAATTTCATGAAAAAAAAGGGAAAGAAACATAAAAATGCATGAATTTCAGGGTTTGGTTTCTTTTAGGCCCCAAGTCTGCAAACAGACATTTGTACACAGGGGTGTGTGCATGTGTGCCTGTGGACAGTTTGCTCTCCTGGTTAATTTAAAAGGCATTTGTGAAAGAGGTAGTAGTCAAAATAGTCATAAAGGATAAAGAACTTATTTTTACTTGAGAAGATGCTATTATAATTCTCCCCCCTCCCCTTTTTATTCTTTCTTTCTTCCTTTCTTTCTTTTTTTTTTTGTCTAAATGTGGTTCTTTTTTATTTTCAGGGCTATGAGGGTTCTCTTATAAAGCTCACATCTAAGCAGGTAAGCATTTTAAACTTGCATATTAATGATCACTTCTACAATAAGTTTGAATTGACTTTCTTCAGGAATGTTGCTAGGGCTCAACATACTTTATTCCCATTAGGATTTTATTTTGTTGTAGCTTTAAAAGATAGGGTGAGATTGGTTAGGAATTAGCACAGGAAAATAGCTTGTAATTCCATAGTCTCCAGCTAGGATGTCTGGGACTAACCCCAAGGAAGACAAATGTAACGCATCCAGCATAGGTATATTGGGGTTTATTTGTATATTCAAAAGTAATTATTATCCAAATTCACTTTTATTCCCAATTCTTTCCTGTTTGTGTGTGTGTGTGTTTTAATAAGGTTAAACAGGCAGCCTTTCACAATCGGTATGCGTATCTGGTGATGAAGAATCATGTTCTCTCTCAAACCCCGAATGGAGGTGGTAATCAGTAACCCTGGTAGTTCCTGCAAACTTCTTAAATTTTTCAGCTGTATGCTTTTTCCCCTCTAATGCTGAACACTCAGCATGCTCACCTCCCAATCACTTTTTGACACTCAGTGGGGTTTTTCTCTGGTTCATCAGGAATAAGCTATGTTGCAAGTATCCTTCTGGACTAAAAGATACTGAGTCCAAAGGGATTATGACCCCTTCTCTTTAGTTGGAACATTATGGGATTTGCGATGAAAATGTTCATCTGTAATTTTGATCATGCAGTGAGAGCACGGGCTTTTATCATTGTGTCATTGTAGTCCTTGCACTGATTGTGTACCAGAAGGTGATTCGGTTCTCTTTCTACTTAAAAAGATGAAGAAACTGAGGGACATTGAATTAATTTAGAAAAGTAGAGTCTCTTGACCCAAGTTTTCCTCTATTCCCTTGTTCACTGCTGCTCACCTTCCAACCCCTTCTAGATTATTTTATGATTCTCTAACACCCCAGCTATATGCCCTTGAAGAACCACACTCACAATCCCTTTGATTCATCTTAGAAATTTAGCTAAACCACTGAGTCATGATTCTTCTGGACTGGCTTTCTTATTTCTACACAAATGCCTGTGGTCATTTCTTTATCTTAGCTCTTCACTTTGACATCACCTCTGACCCAGAAAAATAGATATCCCCTGATTTTTTCCCCCTCATATTTCTTTTTCTTTCCTCAGCCCGTAGGTTTTGTGAGTTTTGACAGTCGCTCAGAAGCAGAAGCTGCGAAGAATGCTTTGAATGTGAGTACTTGTGTAATCATCGGGGGGCTTCCTTATGAGGTGGTGGGAAATAGCGGAACCTCCAGTGGAAGGAATATGACTTCATAATCCAACAGGAAAGGAGTCCTCAATGTGATGAGCCCTCTAAAGAGATTTTTTCCCTAGAATTGTGGTCAGATGTGCCAACTGTTCAGTAATTTGCGCTTCTCTAGCTTTTGCTATAAGGCTTAAAATACCTGATAATGTGTTAGTTCAGCCCAGTCATATCCCATGGTGGTGTACAGCTTAGTTTGGCCATCGCTGTGCTCTCAAAGGTAAGCCTAAGCCAAGAAAACATAAAAAAAACTTGGCTTTTCTTATTTCATGAGGTTTTATTTTAGGTATGTGGCTTTTTGTTTTTAAACAGGTCATTGTCATTATCCTGACTGATTAAAAACTTGCATATATGGCTTTCCTGAAAGACATGCTGCATCGGGATATAAGTGAGAATAAGCTGTGATTGAATAGACATAGCTGTATTTGGTTTGTTAGGTATCTTGTCTGCCATATGTTATAAAGTGTTTACCAGTTTTACCTTGGTAAATACTTTCCCCCTTTGGTATGTTGAAAAACAAAACAACTTAAGGGAACCAAGCTGAGAGAATGTGGAAAGAAGCCAATTTAATTTAGTCCAGATGCTGAGAGCAGACCCTCAGGTGAGAAGTCTCAGTGAAAAGCTTGGCTCCATCCTGCTCCAGGCACTTGGCCTAAGCAGCTGTGGATGAGGGTTGATTAATGTGGCTAAAAGTATCTAGGGTGCTTCTTGAAAGGAAAGTAGTAACTTAACTAGTTGTACTTGGGTATCATGTGAAAGCTTCTGTGAGCTTATCACTGGCCTTTGTGTTGCTTGAGACTAGACCCGTGGTTGGCAAACTGTGGCTCGCGAGCCACATGCGGCTCTTAGTGTGGCTCTTCCTAAGCCTTGGGAGTACCCTAATTAAGTTAATAACAATGTACCTACCTATATAGTTTAAGTTTAAAAAATTTGGCTCTCAAAAGAAATTTCAATCGTTGTACTGTTGATATTTGGCTCTGTTGACTAATGAGTTTGCCGACCACTAGACTAGACCAATACCCCTGCCAGTTGCTCTTCTGAGCTCCTTGATGCTAAGACAAACCATGCTGAGGAGGGGCTGTAGAAAAGACCTGATGTCCCATTGATTTGCTGACCCAAGAGAAAGGGGTCAACATAACGGTGTCATTGTGACAAAATCTTCAGAGGTCTTGTGCTTTGGGAAAAAATTAATACATTCCCAGAAGAAATAATTTGCTTGTTATTGTTGGATTTTCATGAAAACATACAGGAATGTCTTCGGAATCCAAGAGTTCCAAAGAGCTTAGAATTTTTCTGGATTTGTATAAATGACCTTCTGGTTAAAACAACTGCTCACTTACCCTGTCCTCTCCTGCAGAACAAAATGTAAACCAATTATTTATTGATTACCAGTGGTACACACTAAAGCGAAGTGTATAGCTGAATATTTTTACTTAAAAATTATTTCATGATTTTTGTATTACATAGATGCAACCAGAATTTTCTCATAAAAAGAAATTTTAAACTCAAAAATTAAACCACAGTTTCTATTTAAGCAGTGTTTTCTTTCATTCTAACCAGGTGACATCTTTCTAAATTCAGAAATATTTTAGGTCCTTCAAAGTTATGTTAGATGACATTTTTACCAGGTTCTTTTCATTGTTCTTATCTTATATAATAAAAGCCTAATATGCAAATCAACCGAACAGCGCTATGATGTGCACTGACCACCAGGGGGCAGATACTCAATGCAAGAGCTTCCCCCAGCCTGCAGGCCCCAGGCCAACCAAGATGGGTGCCAGCGGGGAGTCTCCCCCTCGATCGCCCCGCTGGTCGCCCTGCCAAGGGAGGTGACAGGAGGTGGTGGTGGGGGGTGGGGCAGGCTGGGCAAGCAGGCCAGCCCCCCCCCCCCCCCCCCGCGCCCCCTCATCACCCCACCTGTGGGAGGCGACCAGTGGCTGCAGGGCGATTGCGGGGTGGGGCTGGCCGGCGAGCGGGCCAGTGCCACTCCCCGATCACCCTGCAGGTTGTCTCCAAGATGGGTGCCAGCAGGGGCCCCCCAATTGCCCCACAGATCGTCCCTGATCGCTGGCCAGGCCTAGGAACCCTACCTGTGCACAAATTTTGTGCACTAGGCCTCTAGTAAAGGAATTAACAGCCGTTGAAACTTGCTCATAGAATGGAGCCTACGTTGCCTTCCTTTATCTTTGCTAGGTGTATGAAGGTGTCACTGACCCTCTGTCTGGAGAACAGCAGGCTTTTATAGTTATTACCTCTGTCGTCTGACGAAGGCAACATTCTCTCATGAGCTAGGTTATTAAATGGTCATAGTCGTAAGCTGTGATTTCTTGCCTTCTAAGCAAAGTATAGCAATATAAATGCAATTTTTCTTGGTGCCTGAGGGTTACATAATTTAAAATATCAGGTATTGAGCTATACTGTAACATAATGATAAAGATATTTAAGCCCACCCCTATGCCAGATGGCCCCAGCTCATTGGCTTTCTTGTTCTGAGGTCTGGTTTTAGGTTCTTTGTGTGCTCAGCTCTTCTTCTTTTTCACTGGCAGTAAGCTTTCCTTTGGCACCATCCTCTGGCTAATCATTAGTTTTATTTGTTGCTCATATATTAATAACTTGGAAAGAACTCCAAGCAAAGCAGGTCTAATTCTGTCCTGTTCTGTGGACTTAAGGGTAACTGTTAATATTTACCTGAGGAATATTGAACCTTAGCATTCTTCGGCTTCAGAGGCTGTCTTGTGAGTATAGGGCATATTTAAGCTCCTAGTTGACCTTTTTCTCAATGTTTTAAACTTTTAAGCATAGAGTATTAGAGGTCTTTGTACATTAGAAATCACCTTATTGTTATAGTTGGGGGAACTGAGACCTAGAGAGAATGGCTGCTACCAATAGAAGTAGGCCTCTTGCTTCTTAGTCCTGGTGGCATTGACAGACTGTTTAATTCACGCTATCCAGGACAAATGGCCATGGTCATGTTTGGTGTGTGACTATGGAGCAAGGTGGCTTCTTCTCTTTGGAGAGGGAATGGGCCCATCTATATATGTAAAAGCCTAAGCGACTGTTTGACCAGTAGCTGTGACGTGCACTGACCACCAGGGGGCAGATGCTCAATGCACAGGCATATAAACATGGAACCGACTGATGAATCTCAGAGGGAAGCGGGGAGTGGGGAGGGTGGGAAGAGATTAACCAAAGATCATATATACATACTAGAGGCCTGGTGCACGGATTTGTGCACTGGTGGGGTACCCCTGGCCTGGCCTATGGGGATCGGGCCAAAACTGGCCCAGTGCACATGCACCAGTGGGGTCCCTCAGCCTGGCCTGCAGGGATTGGGCTGAAACTGGCAGTCTGACATTCCCCAAGGGGTCCTGGATTGTGGGAGGGCACAGGCCAGGCCGAGGGACCCCACTAGTTTAGGATAATATACTGTATCATGAAGCTGACACATCTCTATGGCCCAATATATTATGCTTGTTTTCAGGGTCATTTTTCTAATTAGTGAATTAAAAACATATGATGCTAATAGCTATTATATTTTCTCCTCCTGTCTTTTGTGCAGGCAGTTCTCTTAAATGCTTTTCCTCAAATTTCTTTGGGGAAAATTCCATTTTGTAATGTTTTGTTTGATTCTCCTATTAAGAAACCTAACCCTCAATTCAGTAAATCCCTCTATATGGAATAGTTCATAGTGTTATGAACCACTTCTCATGTTGGAGAGATTCTTTTCTTGTTATGATTTCTGTCTTTGTTACTCTCTGATCCAATTATTAGTATTAGTAATTAGTCTTTTCCCATAATGACTGATTTTTGAATCCATTTATTTTCTTTCATTTTTGTATTATGCTCCAGTCAATTTGATAATTTTATGGAAAAGCTCCGATTGAATTGAGAGGCAACACTGAACTTGTATCAGGTGATAACTCCTATCTTCTAAATTAAGTACAGTATATTTTGGTTTTATAGCAAAAATTCCCAAATTAGTCCTAGCCGGTTTGGCTCAGTGGATAGAGCGTCGGCCTGCGGACTGAAGGGTCCCAGGTTCGATTCCGGTCAAGGGCATGTACCTGGGTTCCGGGCACATCCCCAGTAGGGAGTGTGCAGGAGGCGGCTGATCGGTGTTTCTCTCTCATCGATGTTTCTAACTCTCTATCCCTCTCCCTTCCTCTCTGGAAAAAAATCAATAAAATATATTTTTTAAAAATTCCCAAATTAAGCTAAAAATAACCCAAACCCAGGCTTCCCTTCAGGTTATCTGTGTTATTAATCCTCATGAATAGAAATTCTGTTCATTTTTTTAAACTGGCAGCAAAGTATCTGACCTATTCTTCATCCTCCACACACATTAGTAATTTCTGTACCAGCAGTTTTCCATTTTCCATACTAATGGAAGGGGGAGATGAAAACCTAAAGTATTTAACTATTTTTAGGATTTGTTTATAATTTGGGAAGGTGGATTAAATATACAGAGTTAACCTGGTGAGTAAAAATTTGATGTGTGAAAATTTTAAGAAGAAAACACAGGAAGCAGGGTAGGTCTAAGGATAGACCATGAGCAGAGGTGAGATTAAGCCGTCTCTGGCTATTCTACCAATTGTGAAGACCCCATTATTGCTGTTGTTGCCTAGCTGAAATCATGTCTTAATATAAATAAAAGTGATTAGTAGTTACCACTTCCGATCAGCAGGCTCATCGTGTTCCTTGCTTGTGTACAGTTTCTTAATGAGCATTCTCTTACACTGGTGCTTGGGAACTGCTCATCTGAGGTACTTGAAAAGATTGTGTGTAGATTCTTGTGTATATGTGCCAGTTGTTTTATATCTCTCCTTCCCTATTTTTAAATAGTTGTTATGGGGGGGGGGGGGGGAGATGAATTTTATATTAGGACCAGAGAAGTCTGATGTTATCAAACTATGCACTGCAAATTGTC